TCGAATTACCTCCGTCGATCCCCTTCTTCCTAGATACTAATTGGCTATCCTAAAATCCTAAGAGCGCTATGGCACTCGCTGATCGGCCTGTGTTTGGATATTGGGCCGAGATGCTGTATAGCGGCGCTGAAAATTAGCTTTCCTGTGCCTCTCCAGGCTCCCAATCCCACGCGCCGAGGGGTTTTGTAGTGAGGCGGAGCACTGGATACTCATCCAATTGGTCATGGAGAAGGGCACGGCGGCGGAGTTCGAGATATTCTGCACGGTAAGGATGACTAACTTCCACTGGCGCACGAGACGGGGGGTCCTCAGGATTGAAGTCATTCCCAGGCCCATAAAGCTCGGCTCCAATCTCCTGAAGCTGCTGGTGGCACCAAGCCAGGACGTCAAGGGGTAAATATTCATCTTTATCCCAGTCCCGGACGTCCTCCTGTAGCTCGCGAAGCAGCATAGGATCAACTGCACGCTGGTAATCGGGCTTAGATGCATTAAAATAATTCATAAAGGGCTTCCCGGTAACAGCGTTCGGCCGTGACTTTTGCTTTCGGATATTATGAATATTCCAGGTCTTAGCGTACTCGCTAATAACCCGGCGGAGTGTAGGCATATAGACCGCAAGAAGGGCGACTTGCTCAGGGATAGAGCCGGAGAAGAGACCTATAGAGGATTAGCGGCAGCAGCGGATAGTGGGCAGGATAACTTACCTTGTTCCTGGAGCTCCCGGAAATACTGGTAATAGAGGAAAGTACATGACTTAGATAACTGCGCCCACCAAGCCTCTATTCTCTGGTTATCTGTGCTTCGTCCTAGCCAGAAACAGTCTCCATGGGCAGCCTCTGGATCGAAAACCTGCCGCAGCGCCCATTGTGCATCCCCAATTAGGGATGTCTCCGAGCCGAGGTCAGACCGAATAATCTCCGGTTGGTAGCAGAGGTCGGCGATGGTGTCAAGAAACTGAGAGAGAACGCTCACTGCTGTACGAGAACTAATTCCCACGTATATCCAGAGAATATACCGAGAGTACCCATCAATAGCGGCATAAACCTCAACTCCGAACTGCGCTAGCTTCATATAACCATCCACATGCCACACGAAATTCGGCCCAGGGCACCAATACTCGCCGCGGGAGCGCTGGAGATCGTATGATCGGCGGAGGAGTGAGTCAGGGCGAAGGGAGCGGTAGACTTCGAATACTCGGTGCTGTGGGAAAAGAAAACCATGACGGCGAAGGTGGTGATAGAGAACGCGACGCCCATAACCTTCGGCATCGCCAATCCCAAGCTCCTCGGTCAAGATAACCTCGATTTCGAGCCGCTGCTGCTGCCTCTGAAGCGGGCAGTCTGTACGAAGCTGAATTCCAAGCTGTTTTCGTAACCTTTTAAGTGTAGGTTCAGAGACCTGGAATCCCTCCTTTTGTAGCACTTCGAGTGTCTCTTTAGGAGATAAACCGGCTTCGGTAACTAGCGTGAGAAGGCGAGCGTGCAAAGCTTCATTTTGGCTGGGTAGTTCGCGTCGCAGGCCCCAGGAAGAAAGGCGAGTTTTGAGCGTGCGAAGTGAGATATTGACGCCGTAGCTTTGTATGATGGTCTGGATATTGGCAATAGGTGTATTCTGAGAATATAAGAGAGTAATCTCCTCCCTATAAGACTCTAGGTTAATTGGAGGGCGTGGCATGGTAAAAATAGAGGTTATTCATACGAGCCCAAAATAGTAGGAATTATACTGTGTTAAAATCAATAGAAAGGATTGCCGGCTACCTGGTCATACGGTCTTATATACACACTACACTAGCGTAACTACTGAGTCGGAGATTTAGTAACGTAATCTACGGGCGAGTGAAACACCGCAAAATACCATATTGAATGCCATATTTTGATTCCTCTATATCTCAACCACTAGCGGTTTATTCTTGTTAAAATTTGAAACAACAGTTTTCCAAGCAAGAGCAATAATATATCTAGATTTTGAGCTAGTCAGACCATTATTTCGACACTTTACCATAAAATACAGCGTAGTTTTGATATTGAGACATCAATATATATATATCTCCTATTTCTTAAACTTTCTATGCTGCACCACTAGGTCACAAATGCTATTTAGGTTATACGAGCTTTATATGCTATCCGAAAGAGCTATATTTTTGGAGATATGAAGTTGTTATTTATCGCATTTAGTATGGAGTTTTGGGGTATTTCACACGCCCGTGTGTTTCACTCGCCCGTGGATTACGTTATTCCGACCTAGAACTACAGTGACTGGACATAAGTTTCTACACCCCAGCCAGCTCACCGTCTCTATTGATTTATACCGCCTACCTAAAGCGCGTAGTATAGAACCATGCTAAAAATAGTAAGCGACGCAAACCTAGGATGGGAGCATTTCCTTGAGACGATTCCGCAGCGGATGGAAGCTATTATTGGGAGCCAGAGGCGGTATACACCGTATTAGATTCCATAGTATGAATTCATGGAGGTTTTTGACTGGCAGTATATTATATAATCAGGGGATGGGGCCAGACAGTGTAGAAACTTATGTCCAGTCACTGTAAGTCTGTTCCTCGCCATAGTGGCTAACCTAATTAAGGTAGGGCGAACAGGATATAAAATACGGACGGAAAAGGAGGCGGTATACAGATTGCCCAATTATATTGGATTCTGGGTTATTGCACTCGTGATCCCTAATAACCTCCGTACCAAACTAGACCCACTTGCTGACAACTTGTTGTCGTATTGACAGATACTGGTAGCCGTGTCACAGGACCGCCCCCCACCCTCGCGGGTAGGGGGTGTCCCTCAGCCATAATGCAATTCTCAGCCATAATGCAAATTTTCAATTTCTTCAACTTCTAGCTTATTTTCTAGACGTATAAGGTCCAGGATCCATGAAATAAAGCCCGTCAATAGCCTCATTAGCCAATAATGTATCATCCTCCTCATTTTCAAGGGTTTCCTCCAATTCCTTAGCCGCCAAATCGGCCGCCATTTTCACTGCGTCTTTCCGCCAAGCACGAAGCTTCGATTCATCTTCTTTCTCACACCTCCGCTATACTAGCTTATTACCTGAAATTGATGAAAGGGGGCTTTTTGTAGCTCCCTTTACCCATCGCTTACTTTTTGGCTTTTTTCCAGGCGTTTTGTGGCTAAGGGCGCGCGTAAGGCTCATCTCCGCAAGTTCCGCATTGTATAGAGACGATTTTCCGGCATCAATTGCGCGCCGTATATGTTTCCGAATTTTCCGTAAATCAGGACTCGTGTCATTAAGTAGTAGAAAAACCGCCTTCTCTAATTTCGCAATGCGCGAATAAGAATTAGGCGGGGAATTGGTTACTAAACTTAGAAACTCGCGGGCGGGTGACGGTGACGGCTCGTCATACATGCGCAAGGTCTCTTCATCCGAATACTGCCCCAAATTATCTAAAACTTGTTTAGGATCTAGTGGCCAGATACCAGTAGATTTAAACGAGGTTTAGATCGTTTTGGACCTTAGGGCGCGGTGTCGGACGGCATCAATTTCGCGGAAAAAGTCGCGTTTTTCATTGCTTCCACCCCACGCCATAACTTCAGTATTCGCCATTTTAAAATGATGCTTTAGGCTTAAAAAAGCCTTAGCATCAAGCGGCTAACATAGATAAGTCGTGTGAGGTACGAAATACCAAGGAATAATCAAGTTTTCCTTACAAAAATCGAGAAATTCGATAGTTGTATAAGATGCATGATTATCCATTAGCAAAAGCCTCGGTCGCCCGCGTCGTACGCGGTTTTTTATAGCTTTATGAAACGAGCAGAGCCATCGGTAGGCAGTCTCACTATCTGTCTAGCCACTAGACGTCAAATAGATGATTTTGTACGCCGAAGAAGAGGTTGACATATTGCTATACCAGTCTTCTATGTAGACGCTGCCTTTGACTAGAAACCATAGAAACATCACCTAGCCATCAGCGGCAATACATTCAATGCCAGTAATAGTTTCACCTCGATCTCTAGTAGCAATGCTAGCAGTTTAACGCGTAGAGACGACGTGTTAGTTAAGTCCTTCGCCATTTTAGAAGCCGGTTTCATCCCAATTATAGATCTCATAAGGTTCAAAACCATGCTCACGGTAGAGATACTCAAGCCTATCGTACCGATAGCTAATAACTCTAGGATCCTTAGCTTAAATTCGTAAAGATTCCTTTGGTTTTTGGGTAATAAGCTTGATGTGTGGAGGTAGACGCCGTATAAGCCGATAGCTATATATTGGGCCGACAACTCTCTCCGACCCTACCATTTTCAATAGGCGATTTGCGGCAATTTCAATGTCTTTTGCCTTTGGAGGTGTATAGCAAGAATTTAGCAATTCGATCCAGCTAATTAATGCATTTTCCTGATTCGAATTCAATGCATTGTTAGTGGTAGGACGATCGGAGAGAGATGTCTGTCCGTTTTTGCGACCGCGAAGCTTCGAATAAGACACGCGATAATGGTCCGCAGCCTTACGTAGGGATGAAAATTCTCGCGTAGTATAAGCATGTAATGCCTTAGCTAGCAGATCCTCTTCATCACGAGGTTTTTTAGGCATTTTTGGTGGGTAGGAATACGCGTAAAAGTTGAAAAGGTAGGAAATTTGCATTATGGCTGTGGGGCACCCCCTACCCGAAGGGTGGGGGTCGTCCCGTGACACGGCTATATGAGAGAGAAAGGTGGAGTTGGAGATATGAAAGAGGGTTGGAGATAGCGCGTGGCAAACGTCACTGACCGCATTCAGTGCATTTTTAGCGTCTGTTTATTTTGGTTGCAGACCTGTCTACGTCGGTCGAATTGCCGGTTTACCCGATTGGAATCTAGAGTCCATTCAGTGTAGAATAAGTTGTTTATAGGTTACGCAGCAGGTTGCTTCGGCTATCACGGCTATACCTTGTCAGCACCAAATCAGTTCTGTAAAATCAGTCTACGGAACTAAGGAAAAAATAGGCAAAGTGAGCCAGTCAAATTTGCTAAAAACTAGTATACAGCCAAAAGCCCTCAGCGTTTGCTCAGCAGAGATAATCTGCGAGAACTACTGGAACTCCGTGAAACTCGATGCTCTCCGTTAATACGTCGCCGACCGGATTTCAAAATACTACCCTGTTGCGACAGACCGAGAGTATCGATTGCCCAGGCCATGGTCAACAACAACTCCCAACTCGGTCGAGCCTCCGGGGCACCAGCCGACCAGGTCGGGGAGAAATGCTCACTAACCGCTAGCTGCAATGCTCTGCAGGTCGCATCGCGAAGTGGACGCGCCAAGGCTGGGCTGCAAGCAAGTAGTCTGGTGAGCAGTCTCATCCGAAACACCGGACGACTGGACGCCTTCGAGGACGACAGACTCGGGGTCGAAATCAACCATAAAATCAAAGGGAAATGCTGATAGATCTCCGCCGTCGAGAATATCAAAGGCAAACCCGTCTTCAGGGAAAGAAGAATTTGGCTCAGCGGGTGAATCATGGTTGAACAGGCGGCGGAAGTCATCGTCAGAAAGAGGAGCTGCAACGTCATTTGCAGTTGAAGGTTCTTCGGAAAGGTCGAAGAGAGGAAGGGCGCTTCCAGCTCCTTCGAGACCTCCGACGGACACTGCAGGTCACACAACACCGCTGCAGGATGTTGTGTCGCGTCGGAGGCTTCAGCCAGAGTGGAAGGCTTGAGGTAGGGGGAGTAGTCGGTCACAGAAGGGGTGGGGAATGGGATTCGTTCCATGGGGAGTTCGTCGCCTTCCTGCTTGAAGAGGGTGGGCGTGACGGTGAGAGATTCAATGGCGGGAGAGCTGGCTTTGGGAGTGGCGCTGCGAGATCCGCGAACCTCAGCGGAGAGTTGAGCCACCTGTTGACTGAGGCGGTTGTTCTCGGTCTCCATCTGTGATAGCCGCTGAAAAAGGAACTGATTCTGTTGTTCCATGCGGATCTTCTCGATGAAAAGCTTCTCCATCTCCAGTATCTTGCGTTCGCGTGATGTTTGAGCGGCTGCGCGGTTCCGGAGGACCCGTTCTATCCGACGCTGCTCTTTCTCATCATCTGTCTTAGCGCGTTTGCTAGTTCTGTTAGTGATGATTCGCGAGTGGGCGAATGGAGGGCACACATACCGAGGAGGTAGGTTTGTCTTTGGGATTGGAAGTTCTTGTCCCCAAGACTTTCTCTTCTTTGCTGGCTTCTTCTCGTCCTCTTCCTCCTTGGTGTCATCCTCTGGCTCTGGCGAGTCCAGTGATGTATCTGCGGGGGAGATTGTGTACATTTCGGGATCAGGAGATGTTCGCGAAGTGTCCAACGGGTTGATAGTGTTGGCCATGATATTGGATACCGGTGCCGGATGCAAGGTTCTGTTCAGATGAAGACACTTGAGGGGTAAGATGAGATTAACCTAGTCAAGGCCACGCTGCCATCACGGCACCGGAGATCCAGACTCAGGGGAAATTGAGTCAGAGGTAAGTCAGCAAGAAGAGAGAGAATGGAAAGGACAATTGTTTGTTTGCAGGTGGAAGAGTGGCAGAGTGGCAGAGTGACAGACTTAAGTAGAGGCCAGCGTGGTCTAAGGGGGGAACACAGGGGACTGTAGGTACAAGGGGGCTTTACATTATATACATTACACTATGATAGGGGAAGTACCCATTTGGTGTAAATTACGCACCATTTCCCCCTGCGCAGACGAGGTACCAGTGCGAACGCTGGTAGGGTTCGATGATATGCCGCACATATCGCCTGAGCCACCACAGATTGATGCGCTTGAATTTGTAGTTGATGGTGTAGTAAGTTGGTAGGTTGAGTAGAATGCTTGCCACCTGGACGCCGCTGACTTCCCGATCATGTGAGAGGGTATTAAGGCAGCGAAGCGCAAAATTGTCTAAACCCGGAAGGCTTCTAACGTAACTGTGATCGGTTTGCAGTGCTTAACAGTTGGGCGGAAATCTAGCCCCAGTTTTGCTCAGATGATTTGGGGGGACAATTCGCCCCCTTATTTAATGCCGATCTGAAAGGGTATCTATCTACCCACTAACTGGCCCCTTAGAAAAGCTACAGTGATGTTGCAAAAGTATTTGGCCGCCGATACTTCGCAATAGGACCCACTTTTTATTACTGCCTGGCAGAAAATTACTGGTAGTATGTGAACCATATGTCTTAGTTCTAGTAAGGTAGTCACGCTTTTTTTCCGGCTTATAGAAGGCATAATTGAAAAAGAAAATCACGAAATATGCTTTGAAACGCGTTAATATGTAGCGTATGTACTAGCGTGTTAAGGGTTGATAGACTAATATAGTAGGCGGTCTAAATGGCGGTTAGAGCCCGAAGTACCGGCGGCCAAATACTTTTGCAACACCACTGTATCTTTTTATTCCAGACCCTAGCGTATCACAGGCTGATTCAGTGCCTATACACTCCATCATATGTTTTTGTATGGTAAAAGGGGCCACTTCGGGATACCCAAGTCGTAGCATGCCAATATCTGTCCTTCAGGCTATGAGACGCTCTCAACAGCGACCTCCTGAACAGTTCTTGAACCAATCATGTCAATTGATTCCGTCGGTATTAGTGCGTACAGATATCCTGCGGCCCACGTTTAGCCTTAGGAGGGCTGTCACAGTTCGTCATTCATTATTTGATTCCTTCACAACTAAGGCCCGACTAGACCTCGAAATGGGGCGGATCCGGATCCAACTTTTGAATCCTGATCCTGATCCGCCGGATTTCCGGATCGAATTCTTTGATCCGGATCCGCACCGCGGTTCTACGCAAGGCGGATTAGGATCAATCCGTTTCGATCCTGATTTGCATAAACTCGCCAAGACTTTCCTGTTTTGGCGGATATAAATGATGACTTATCTAAATAAAATACTGTAATATACACTTGTTCTGGTCAATGCATTCATAACTCCTAAGATTTAGTGATTTTTTGGTTGAAATTTCATGTTTTGAAACCGTATGTAAATCATTTTACCTATGGAATTTGAATAATAGAAGTTGTAACATCATTTCCGACCTTGGTTGTTAGCCAATTATTAAAGTAAAGTTGAGGTGTTGTAATGACATGGGAAATATATATTCTCACCCAAGTATCATGTCACACTTTTTCGGAACTTTCTTGAACTATTTTAAAGCAAAGCCTTCTAAAATCATTATATCCTTATGATTAGTTAGCTGATAAACTAAGGTACTTCATTTCTTCCTTTGTTTTTAATAAGTGATTCCTACCGAAATACCTATCTCTGTAGCCTACATAGCATACTTTGGATTAAAGAGTCAGGCAAATTCAAACATACTAAAAGGTTTTAGGAGGGCGGGGCGGGGCGGATCAGTCAGGATTTTCCCAGGGCGGATCAGGATCAATCCGTTAAGATCCGTTCTATTGTGGGCTCGTTTTGCTCTTAAAGCCAATCATATAGTAGGGCTGTAGGTCGCCTAGCCCATATTAGAATTGATATATCTACAATGTCGTTCAGCTCGCGCTCCTGGTCGCGTCTTTTAATTTCCCTTCTTTCTCGCTTCTTTCCTCCCTGTAAGTCTCCTTCTTTCTCTTTACTAAAGTTAGTAGTGATACTTATTCACTATGTCACAAAGTCAAGCCTCTCAGTTCTCGGATACCTACCCTTCCTCTATCTTTGAGGATAATCCTCTAGATAACCTTTCAGATATTCCTTCTGACGGAGCAATATATTTTACCCCTAGTGCTCTATCTCAGCAGACATCCACCCTTACACCTGACGGCGATTCCGCTCGACCATTAATAGTACCTCCTGTTCCACCGACTCTAGAACGTGTTGGGCCTACGACAAACCAGAAGCACTTTATACTCTGGACTGAGGAGATGAATGATGAATTCTGTGGGTGGTGGTTGATGACAGAGTATGGAAGTCAGATGAAAAGGAATATCTTCGAGAAACGACGCCAAGCGGACTGTTGGAAACACTTCTATCAGGTTGCTATGATTCAAAATGGGTCACCTAAGGTCATGTGCAAAGTATGCAGCCAGGTTATCATCCACCCCGCGGTCGGAAATCGTGGGACATCCTCCCTAAATAAGCATGTCCGGGAGGGTGTTAATTGCCGGAGATCGAAACCCTCACAGGATATTCGAAAGCTTCTTCAATCAGGGGTATGTTAGAACTTATTTTTATTATGCCTACTCCTCCTTGAACCTACAATTAACTTGTTTATCTTAGGTACTTAATGGCCCTCAGCCAGAGAAATTTACCCTCGAGGAGTTTGATGAGTGTGTGATATCTCTAATTACTGAGTTACGACTACCATTTCAGTTTGTTGAACATCCTCGGTTTCATAAACTAGTCAAACTGGCTAGTCTCGCCTCATCTCCGCCTCGGGTTTTGTCTGCATATCTAGTACGACAGAAGATCCAGGCGAAAGTGATAGAACGCCAAAAAGGCCTTCTACAGATGCTTCCGTCAGGTGCGAAGCTTTCTATTGCATTAGACTGCTGGACCTCGCCCTTCCGCCAAGCCTTTATGGCCATTACCGGATATTTTATCGATATAGACTGGCATTACCGTGAGATCTTGCTTGGATTTGAGCCACTTCATGGAAGCCATAAAGGGGCCGACCTTAGTGTTGTCCTCTTGGATCTTTTAAAAAAACATCACATCGAAGATCGGGTTTTAACAATGACCACTGACAATGCATCAAATAACACGACGCTCCATGATAGTATCATGAAAGCTCTTGATTCACTCGTGTTACCAGATGGTACCCCTATTGTTCGAATCCCGTGTATGGCACATGTTATTCAACTCAGTTTAAACGAGCTTCTCGGCAGGATGGAAGCAGCCCCAAAGAATGACCGAGAAGAAATGGAATGGACAGATTCTGAGTCCCGGGGTAAAGCTCATGGAGAGAAGAAAGATATCGTGCTTACCCTTAATAAGGTAAGAAATCCCCCCCCCTCTCCTTCTTTCTTAGCTAATATTATACTAATATCAACCTAGGTTCGGCGACTAGCAGTCTGGGTTAATAGAAGCCCTCAGCGTAGAGAGCAATTCCTCGAGCTCCAGTCCAAAGAACCAAAGCTTGTTCTGATGCAGGACGTTAAAACCCGGTGGAATTCTACATTTCTGATGCTCCAGCGTGCCAAAAGACTACAGACTATCTGCGACAAGTATTGCTCTGAGTGTGGCCTCTCTGACCTTGTGCTCACTAAGGACGAATGGAAGCAGATTGACTATCTTCTTTCTATCACACAACCCTTCTTCAACTTCACAAGTGTTCTCTCAAAGACTAAGGATGTCACTATCCATATAGTCTTTAGTATCTACAATCAGCTATTCGATCATCTCGAGAGGTCTAGGGACCAGCTTAGACGAAAGAAAGCAAGATGGCAGATAATAATGCGAACCGCTCTCGAATATGCAACACAGAAGCTAAGAGACTATTATGCCGAGACCGACAAGGCCTATGGTGATCTCTATGCGATTGCGACTATCATGGCACCCCAGAACAAGCTTGAATACTTCTCTGGGAAGGACTGGAATGGGCCTTATCGCAAACAATACCGCGAGAGTCTTGAAAAATACCTTGAGCCATACAAGAAGCGTTACTTTGAAACTCGGCCAGCGTTGCATGGAGTTTCTTCTATAGAGCAGTTCTCTATAGTTGATCAGATAGGTGACAGGCAGAAAGCCCAGGGGTGTGAGATCAACCAAGACGATGAGCTTACACAATATCTTGGAAGTAGTAAGTGAATCATTACTAAATACCTTTTATTATCTCTTACTAATCCTTTACTAGGTACTCGCAAGATTAATCCATGTGTCTTTTGGAAGTGTAATCAGTATGAGTTCCCAGTTCTTGCGAGCCTTGCACGCGATGTTCTTTCTATTCCTGCGACTGGTTCTGGTGTTGAACGACTCTTCAATACTGCTCGTGATATCTGTCATTACCGCCGAGGGTCTCTTAAACCGACAACTATCCAGGATCTTATGATGTATTTATGTACATCGAGGTTTGACATTGAAAGTGATCAGCATACTTTGATAGAGGAGTATCTTACAGCACAGGAGATACAAGCAGTGAAGGAGAAAAGGAAGAGCGAAAGGCTAGATGATGATATGTTTGATCTAATCAGTGATACTGAAGAAGATTTCTCAGCTAAGGCTCAACCATCGCAGGGCCCGAGCAGGGTTGCGCTTGGTAAAAGACCTCTTAGAGATATCAGAGATACACCTCTGATTGAACTCGGAGACGAGGATGAAGAAGTCCAAGAGGATGAGATCCCGCTACCTGATAATTCAAATCTGCAGGATGCAAGTGGTACTCAGAGGCGTACATCAGGGCGGGTTCCAAAGCGTTCAAAGCGGGATGATGGTGAATGGGAGTACTTAAAGCCCTAGATTTAATAGAATTAGAGAGTTCCAAATCAATTTCTATTTCATTAGTATACTTTTTTGATTAATCTGTAAGCCAAATACTTAAAAATACAGCCCAAATCTACATAAAATATGCATATCACAGGGTTTCTTATGTTTGTCCTTTTTGTTAATCCGGCGGATCAATCCGCCCCGTACAGGGCGGATCAAAGATTTATAGAACCGCCCCACGGATCGAAGAACTAGATCCGGATCCGCCCCAAAGGCGGATCGGGGCGGATCCGGATACAGATCAGAACGGATCCTTTCGAGGTCTAGGCCCGACTAATACCCCCATCTACCGCACCCGCATCCCATTTCGTAATCTATCCAAAGCTTCTCGGGTTTTGGCGGATTGAGATAACCACAGGATATTCCCATCTTCTGGATTTTCAGGGGGCGGCAAATTCTTGGCCCACTGGATAGTGATCCTCGTTATACTGTAAGTCTGCAAACATCAATTCCATCCCAGGTCACCCAAAGACTCTATACAAGTTTATACATCCAGTATGCTAAGACCTTCGGCTTCCGCGACGATGATCGGTGCGTGTGCGGTGCGCAAGAAACAGTCACCCATGTGCTGGTGGACTGCCCAAATTTGAGGGAAATCAGAAGGGAGCTAAGACGTGAAGCTGGGGACGCGTTCAACGACGTGTAGGGCTCCGAAAGGAATATGATCATTCATGAATATTCATGAATATTTGCGAATATGAATAATATGAATTGCATAATATGAATATGAATAAGAGACTTTTTCATATTGCATTATTCATGAATATTCATGAATGATCATATTTATTCATATACTGAGAGAGCATACATTACCGTTCATGTTGTTACGTCTCAATACAGGAACCCATTTTCATGTGCCTAAGACTCTATAACAAATGCGTTCACCATCTCTAAGGTATTACATTCCCATAAATCTTAATATTATCACAATCACTTTTTTGGAACGCTATTTTTGATACTGTCCCTTCAGTAGCATAAGCCACCGCATAGTCTCCGCATTTAGACAGTGTCTCCTGAGCCCCAATACATCCCTGGCATTGCTGAACTCGCGTTCAATCCCTACCTCCGCTGATGGAATTGGCAGGTAATCTCGGGCTGCCTTTGCCATGAGTGGAAAGCTAAATACATTTGCCTTCCACCATTTGAGAACCCATTCCTCGTCTGCATCGTCAATCATATGGTGGGACCAACTCACCGGTGGCGCGTCTAGATATCTATCAATGTCTGAAAGAAGCGTCCGCTGTGATGGCTGTACTTTTCGCAGCGTCCTCCACATAGTCTCTGACATTCCCGGCGGGCGATCCACTACACACGACATGGACAACTCCTGCGGATACTCCCTCTTTAGGAACTCCCGCACTTGAGAGATGATCAGTCCCGCATCTTGCTCGCTCATCTGCGATCCAATCAAAGACGATTTAATACGCGGGTCTAGGACGGAAGCCACGTAGTAAAGAAGATTGGTGTCCATCTTCCTCGCAAACTTGTTCATCTTTTGGATTCCTCTTTCCACCGCATCCCGGATCTCAGTATCCACACCTTCAAAATCACCTTCGGCTTTTTGAACCTCGTCAAGGAGGTCGTCTAGACTCCAATAGATAGGCAAGCTCTCAACAATCGTGGGACAAGATTTTGATACGGAGTTGGTGTGATCCCAGAATGGCTTAAGAACCTTCGCTACTTGTTGAAGAATCGACCATTCGTTCTCGTTTAGTTGAAGGGCGTGAACTTCTGGATGCATCCGAACAAATTGTCCAAGTTCCTTCTGTAGCCGAAGGGCGTCCGCTATCATGATATAGGTTGAGTTCCATCGAGTGTCAACATCGTAGCCCACTTGCTTGGCTGGTGACACATCTTTCCAATTTTGGCGGCGCTGTGGACTGCGGGCAACCCATAGGGTCAGCAGCCGGATCTTCATGATTGCTCCCTTCGTGCTGTGGGCAGAGGTGAATGTTGGGCTACTTTGTGTGGCCATGTCGTCCAGTATAACCTTCGCCTCTCGAGCTGAGCCGGCCCTCAGGGAAGCAAGTACGTCCCTGCAAATGAGATTTATGACGTGGGCAAGGCAAGGAATGAAGCTCTGCCGTCCACGAAACCGCATAAGAGGTCTGATGCGAAATTGGTCGTCTTTATCGTCATAGTTCTTGAGAAGCTCGGCGTGAAGACTGTCGCAGAGAGTTCCATTGTTGGCAGCATTATCCCCCGTAATTGTGAGGAGCTTTGGCGCGACGTCTAGTTCCTCGAGCATTCTAATCACAATTTCCGCAAGGTTCTCCCCAGAGTGCGGTCCACATATGTCAGTAAACTCCAGAAGCTCTTCCCGCTTCTCAAACTCGGGTGAGATCCAATGGCCAATGATGCCCATGATCGCTATCTGATTCTCCGATGTCCAAACATCAAGAGACAGCGCAAGCGTGCGACTACTACTGGCTAATTCTTCTTTCACGCAAGTCCGGTTTTTGCGAAATTCCTCCTTGATCCTGTTGAAGAGAGTGTCGGCCGTCTTGATGGGTAATATAGCCCCTGTCGCTTCAAAAAGTGCCCTAAATGCCGGATGCTCCACTACCGTAAACGGCTGTCTCGTTTGGACAACCCATTGTATCAGCATTTGTTCAAGGCCCGCCCTTTCTTTTGCAGGTGTCAAAAAACTGTCCAGGGTCGTTCCGATAGTTGACGATGACGTGATGTCTGATCCGGAACTGATGCGGTGCTTAGCCTGGAGATGGGCCAACAAATTCGAAGTGGAGCCATAGCGTGCCGAATCCCTGGATGACCAACTGCACTGCCTACAGACTAAGAGCCGATCCTTCTTTGGTGGCCCACCCTTTCGACGCCAGGTGTTGTCTAGCTCTGTGATCCAGAAATGCTCGAGGGTCCAGCTAGAATATGACTTGGCTTTTCGTCTCTTGTAAGTCGGTGGGCTACTCTGACTGCTAGTCAACCCTGATAGCGTGGGATCTAGCGGTGCGGGCGAAGACCTGGGAATGGGTAAGGACAGCACGGATGGGGATGTCTCTTCGCCTTCTGTAAACTCGGATGGTGCTGGTGAGCAGGGGCTCTCTATTTCACGAATATTTCCTTCCCATGGCTCAGGGAGTAGGGAGGGTGTGCCATTGTTCAGAGCATTGTAGTCGCGACGCGGAAGACCACGCGTCTTTCGCACAAATGGGTTAGGTGAGGATGCCATTCTGTATTTGCTCAGTGTTAGTAGTCCAAGTGGTACCTGGGAGCGAGGCGGGGCACACCTTTAGTATCACTCGACAATACTTGATAGCATGGCGGGTCGGAAATGAACGGTGAGAATGAAACAATGATGGGGAAACACTAGCTATGCTTTCGCCTGATGCGAATCCCAGTAAAGTGGAAAGTTGATAGGTCTTTTCTTTACACGCGGCGGTTTCTCACTCGCTACTCTCATGGTAAACAATCTGTAACCTGCATGAGAAGTGAGTTAAGGTGGCATGATAAACGCGTTTTTACGTGCCAATAGTCATGGTTATAATAAATCTAAACTTTGGAGTAGATCGAGTGGGAACAAGAGAAGTTATGGTAGTCGATTTAACTAGAGCAGCAAAGATGTGGAAAGACGACTTGTAGATATATATAATTTCGCTCGACTTTCTGTAGCAACCGTTGGTCACCAAAACTAGACATTTACCTATAAAAAATCACGAAAAATAATGACGCAGAATATATAGAGCTTACCGAGCCCTACAATATAGGGTATATACTTCAGAACATGGATTGCATGGGAAATATTTTCTACTATGCTTGACCGAGGCCGTGATCGCACTTGAAATACAAGTTGGCTAGTGGAAACGTGTTTTTCTGTAATACAAAAACCGGGGAAACGGAAGATCCATTAATGCGCGCAAAATGCATGATATGAATAATATGAATGCGAATATGAATAATGCGCTTATTCGCCCGAATACGATATTCATTTATTCATATTCGCGGGGTGCGAATATGAATATGCCCTATATTCGCATTCATTTATTCCTTTCGGAGCCCTAACGACGTGTCGAGTCTGCTGGGAGGCTCAACCCAAGGTAAGAGAGGTAAGCCAGACATCGTGTCGCGGGCTAGGACGGTCAAAGCCGTACTAGACTTCGCTGAGGCGTCACAAAGATTCAAAAGTCGCGCGCCATGGGGGCAGCCTAATAACTTGAATGGCACCTGGGCCATGATACCTTGACGAGGCTCCAAGTTCATTTTCAGGAAGTGGGACATTACACATGTACATACAAGGATATAAGTTATATAGTTAGCGTATCTTGTATATCGCCAAAAGAGTTGATTTCCCAACTAGACTAAAATACGAATCCGCACTCAGCCTAGTGGGTTATGGTTTAGAATCCAACTAAAAGCGAGAGGTCAGGGTAAATGATACAGTATCATCCATCCATCCATCCACTGTACATCCAGCGAACAAGAAATGTCTCAGCCCAGCCTTACGCCATTCTTCAAAGTCGCAGCACGCAACCTCCACGGTCAATCACGACATTGATCCGTCCCAATCAGGTAAGGATCATCTTGGCATTCTACCTGAAACCCTAAATGCCGCAATCTCTACATAGAACAGCTTCATCTACAGAAGTACACAGAAGTACAGAAGTACATATTACAATCAATGATAACATACAATAGCCCTATATTACATCAATTACTCACTACCTATGTACAAGCTTTTCCACCTCTTCCTCATCTTCACTGCGCCGTCACCGTACTGTTAGGGAGTGTGATGGTCAGATTCTTAAAGTCCAGAGTAAACGCCCCCTCCTTCATCGAAGGATGGGTGGAATTCGTATAAGAATCAACTAGATATCCCTGGATATGATCCCCAGAGGCCATGGCCGAATTGAGCGAGCCAGTCTTCTGCAGAATGTACAGCACAGGCTTGAGACCATCGCTCACTCAAATTTCGAACGATTTGTAGTTCGTCGGGCGGAGTCTCAAAGGCTAGCAGATAAATTACCCGCTTTCGCACCTCGAACAATCTTCTGGCAAGGACTTTTTTGTTTTCTGGCAAAGAGTCAGTCAATCCGTCGTTTTCCATCGGATCCCCTTTCACCATGCCAAAACAAGCGACAACGTCGAGAAACCCATTGGTGCCGCCCCAACGCGCGGTTCCCCGGTCGACAGGGGCGGGAAGATCTCTTGCGCAGCCCATAGGGACTTTGCCTAGGAACGCGACCGGTGGTCTTGAACCGGCGTCGCAACGGCCAATAAATGTTCGAGAAGTACCTGTCCGTCCTTTATTGCTATAGCTACAGGGCGTGCAGTCTCACTCGCATATACTTTGATAGGGACGAACTTCCCACGCATCCAGAACCTTGAATCAAGACGACAGAGAAGCAAACTTCGAGATCGTCCACGCTAATTGTAAAAAGACCATCGAGAACGCCGACGCACTCAACCGACAGCTTACAGCTCGGTTTAATGAGAAACGACGTGAAATCGCCAATAATGCGCAGCAGTTTACCAAGGAGAGATCCGACATGATGATCAAGATTCAGCAGTACCACCTGGAGATACAGAAGCAGTCGGGCGAGGTACAACGCTTGAATGGAGAAGTTATTAGGCTGGAGACACTTCTTGAGACGGCCAACTCGAATGCCCGTAACTTGCTCTCGCGAAGTGACCTGCAACAGATGCTGGAAGATATTCATACTGCTGGCCAGTCATTCATGAGCCATCTCGAAACCCGAATGAACGAGAATGAGACCAAGATGGATGAAAACGGAAATGCGCAGAATTTCACTCAGCTGCCGGGAATAGATGTGACGGGCGACTGGCTCGACACGGAAGCGTTCGATGTGATCAATGACTCTGGGGCTTTTGCGGAGATGCCAGCCACCATGTTCCCCGCATCTGACCAGGACAGCGTGCCAAACATCTAATCTGTCGCGGGTTGAGCTGGGTTAAGTGCCACAAATGCCATGATTAGTTTTCACTCGCTCACTAAGTTAATTGAGCCTGATTTTTCTCTGATTCTGCCTTCAACCAAGCCAAGAACCCACGTGCCCGTATCTTATGGTACAACAAGGGCGATCTGGATAGGAACATATATACAGTCAACTCTCGCTTATACCACGGTGGGATATTGCACATTCTTGATAATAACACATCCCTTGCTTGGATGGCCCCTTCATTCCAGTTTTTTCCATATAAATTGACAGAATATAACACATTTTGTTTTACCACACTTTCTTCCTCTCAAATCTGCTTAGTCAGCGCAATCAACCAATCAGAATGCCTCAATCTACAAGCTCTCCTACCCTCCCGACCCCACCCAAGCGCGTCAGAATGGGACCAAAGCGTACCAAATTGGGTATATCAGACGCGCAGAACCAGGCACTACGGGCATTTTGGTCTAATACTAGCCCAAAGCCCACGCAGACTGCATGTGCTAAGTGGTTTGAGGACCAATTCAAACAAGTGATTGACCGGTCAACCATATCAAGGATCCTTTCATCCAAATACAATTATCTTGATACGGGCCCTGCAGGGGCAAACAAACGATCTTCATCCTCTCATTGGCCATTATTGGACCAAAAGCTATATGACTGGGCAGATAACCAAATTGGCAATGGAATACCAATAAATGGCCCTTTGATCCAAACTAAAGCAGCTGAGCTTTGGAGACAAATACCGGAATACAAAGATCGGACCAAACCTCAATTCTCTGAGGGTTGGTTAACTCGCTTCAAACAACGCCACTCTCTTCAATATCATACTTTCCACGGAGAAGCTGCCTCAGTCCCATCCTCGGTACATGATCAGATCAAAAGCACCAAATCGATTTGCAATCAATTCAAACCGTCCGAAATCTACAATATGGATGAAACTGGCCTATTTTGGCGACGTATGCCAAATGGTGGTCTTTCAAAGGGAAAAATTGCTGGCAAAAAGCTTGATAAAACACGAATCACTATTGTTGTTGCATCAAATGCGGATGGTTCCGATCGAGTCCCTTTATGGTTGATTGGCACAGCAAAAACCCCTCGCGCACTCCGGGGGGTTAATTTCCGAGCTCTGGGATGTGTTTGGCGTCACAACAAGGCAGCATGGATGCGTCATGACATTATGGAGGACTGGTTGCGATCTTTCTATGGGCGTATTCCCTTAGATAAGAAAGCTTTGCTCCTTTTAGACAATGCTTCACCACATGTTATTGGACTCCAGCGAGCGCCACCACCACCCCGGATTACGGTTGTTTTTTTGCCAGCAAACGCAACTTCAATTTATCAACCCTTGGACCAAGGTATTATCCAAAACTTGAAGCACCATTATCGGAAGAAATGGATGCGCTATATGATTGCTTTTCTTGATCGTGGGATAGACCCAAAACAAAGAATGAGCATTTATTATACTGTTACCTGGGTAACGCAAGTTTGGAGAACAAGTGTATCAGACCAAACGATTATCAATTGCTTTAAACAAAGTACTTTGATTAGTCCAAAGTCTATACCTATACCTGAGTCCGCGCCCGAGTCCGCACCTGAGTCTGCACTATTTTCCGAGCCCGGATTGAGTGATGAGATTGAAAGTCTATATAATCAAGCAATTGATAAGCTTGGTGATAAAGATATTGTGCCATTTGACGAGTTTTTGAACCCTTCGGACGAAGACATGTTAGAAGATGGGACTGAAGGGCGAGATGAGACCAATGAGCAAGATATATATATTGCCCCAACAACCTCAGAAATTCAGGATATTGACATTGATGGGCCCCCACCTGAGCTTCTGTCTAATTCTGCTATATTGGACAGCCTCCAGGATATCCTACTATGGGTTTGTAGCAAAGAAAAGGGTACCTCGGACCATATTAGACAAATTGAGAGCTTAATCAGCGACTTTGGCAGGATTCAGATTGATGAGAAACGTCAGGTGACTTTGGATCAGATGATGGGATGGAAGACTAAATAGGTATTAGGGCTTAGAGTTAGCTTGTCAAATATTATGTCATCCTCTCACCAAAACACAACTCAATTATACCACGTAATTTGGCTTGGATAGTATGCTGTGGTATAAGCGAGAGTTGACTGTAATAGCATTTTAGGCGGTATATATATTTTTACGCGTATTCAGGCAGAGGGTCGAAGTCCAACCCGCGATCTCGGCAGGTCTAGATCTAGCTTTTGTCTAACATCCCACGGTCTTTTGCTCTCGTCCGGTCATGACCTCAGTTCCGATCGCTGACCGAATACTTTAGTCACGCGTGTTGTAGCAAGCATGAAATGATCGTATTGATAACGGAGCTGGCGTACTGTAGCTCATAACTTAGTATGCAGACAGGCGTTTCCTGTCCAGACGCATGGGTAGTGTACATAAGTGTGACGAATCAGTATCACACGTCCTATCTCTCCGACCACACAGCTTTCCTTTCAAAGTGGTTTTACAGGCGCTTTCTATGCGTGTCATGCGACTTTAAACTCGCGCCAACAGGCACGGACCGATCTCTCCTGTCATCCGTAGCGCGGATTGAAGCTCCTTTCTCTCTTCACTTTGCGGGCCTGTTGATTGCAGGGGTCTAACTGTCCTGGTGGCGTCGTGAGGGCGGCTCGACTGTGAATTGTCCACTACCGGTGGGTTTGATTAAATAGCGCTAGTCGAACGATACTCAAACAGTCCAGGCCTAACCCCTGTCTGGCATCAATAGCCCACGCGACCGCTGCAAACTCACTCTTATCTGTGGGAAGCACCTAGAATTGCTATTTAAACTCTCACATAGTGCTTACATAGTAGCTACTGCACCCAAAGTCATATTGAGCGGGGGCGAAATTATTTTACACCTGCCATTTATGTGATACTAATTCAACCGCAAAAATTATCCCAGCGCCTTTTCGGTATGTCCTGTGCAATAGCTTTGGACTTTTGGAGACCCCGTCGTTATTTGCGTAGAACCAGCGCTTGTCGGAGGAACATCCTGGTTTAGCAGCCTATCATCTGGTAATCAAAGAGATGTTGATGTGTTTCGTGAGTTCAGAACCAACAGTGGCAACCTGGGATTGGGGTTGGATTGGCTCAGGCTCAGCTAGAGGTGACGTAGTATAGAAGGGATTTTTATTCAGTACGTGCGGCGCAGAACATTGGTACAAATTGACGTTTACAGGGAATTTCGAGAACAGTTTACTCCCCCCGACACACACGCTTTCTTTCCCAGCGCGCCCACTCACAATGCGCTAATCGAAATTTGGCTAGCGGAGGTACCTTCCTGAGGCGTAACACCGTATTATTGGCTGCGGGGAATCTGAACCCCAGCGATCCGGACTAGACGTCCTTGTGGGTCTCCGGGAAAAGAAAACGGGTGTGTCTCGGGGTAAGCTGTTTTCGAAATCCTGTATCAAAGGGACCGAAAAGTACGAAGGACGTTATTCGGCCCTATAGTGCGATCTCAGTTCCGTTGATATCCACCTTAGTCCCATTGGCTACGGAGTCACAATAAGCCGTTGGCAATGCAGACCAGCGTAAAAGCTTAACTCTGGAGTGTACAGGCGCCACTCCTAGCTAAACAGGTACGGATCACGAGACCAACATGGTTTTATACGCCGGGGCGATCTGCCTTTCAGAGCGTTCCCCGTTCTGGCCTTCCAGTTTTAGCATTGGGAATCTATCTGCAATTCCGATATCATGGCGGCAGGAACTCTCTTGATCAGACGTTTACTTAAGGCAGAGATCATAGAAATACGGGTTGTCTTTCTTCCTATCATCGTCTTGCACACTGACGAAGCTCCTGTGCTCAGTGGACTGTACCGGGCGTAGTCATACCGCCAGACTAGCCAATCACATTGTGACCACCGGCTTTGATTGAGGCATAGGACAGTAAGAGAACAGACAATTACTAGTGAAAAACAAAACAAAAAGGTAAGAAACAGAAGTTACGGACCAACGCATGAGAGTGTCTCTACAGCCCTATATCCTAAAATGACATCTGGCCTGACCCTTTAGTCCTGTATAGATAACAGCTGTAATATCATTCACCACCTCCCAAGGACCTGGTCAAATATCCTCCAAAGTTTCTCCGGCACTGCATGTCGTCGTCGGCGTTGCAGGGAAAATATCCCAAGTATTGCGTCATCTAGCGCGATCTAAATCAGTTCTGACCCATATTATCTTCTTTTCCTATGCTTGTACTCACATGATCGCCGTTGGCCTCTGGTTAGTGATTCTTCAGGATTGAACTGCCGGAGCAGTTGGCGAGCCTGAGGATCTGGAGCTCTCAGATTTAGGGCGGGTGGCGACTTGGGAATGCCAGGCATATGCGTCACTTGTTGACGTCGTACAGCCTGAGCGTTCTTGCGGCGACATCTTGCCGATATCGAACGCCGCCGGTAGATACCTTTTAGTAGTTGATTGTGTTTTCCACGCAGCGACTCGGGCCCGCGTGCAATACCAGTATCACGACAGTATTCTATCGATTTATCTTCCCACGATAAGTGCTGGTGCTGAGATAGCCAGTCTGGAAGACTTTGCTCTTCTGACGGTGACCACGGAATGTAGCTAGCTTTGGACATGATGAGAGCAAAGAGGAGAGACGAGCAGGCTGCGATGGAAGGATGCTGACGAATTCGTGATAGATCAACGAGATCAACAAGGAAAGACAGGGATTTATGTAATTTTTGAACGGCTCGAACCCCTCTGGAGGGGACGCGGGAGTTAACACGGTTGGTCTCAGCTTGGAAAGATGTTGTTCGTCCGTCAAAATTACACGATTTTGCTCGACCACTTCCATGAGGGTTGGCCGTGTGACTGTGTAATTCTAAATTAGTCTACAAGCCACCAACAATCCTACGAGTGCTACGATTGCCTGTTTAAGAATCAGTTCATGTCGGGGCACGGTAACGACCCGGGTCCCAGCGGGGTCGGTAAATCCGATTTGAACGAAAGTAGCACCAGACATTGTATCATATCTTCAAGAAGGTGATTTTGAATGCACTTCGATGCCTATCGAGTGTGCTTGACCGAGACCAGATAGACGAAGGCCGACCAGGTGCCTGCCCTATTTGAAGAGCCACCTGAGAGTTAACGGCTTCATGATTCAAAAAGATGACTCCCAAGTCATCCACCCGGGCCCTGGTCTAGACTGATTGAGAAAATATTGCCGAAGGGCTCAGGTTTCTGTGGTATGGAACCTGTATATTGCCGCTATGCCCGGATATATAGGGAGTAGTTTTATTGGGGTTGCCTCACAATGCCCGTAGCCTCACGTGATATCTACACCGACACTACTGAGGGCCTCTTCCTCCTACAACTGCCTCACGAGAGTCAGTTCCTTACCTCTGCGGGTAGCTCGTCATCTCTCACGCAGTCAAGTCTTGATTTTGTTTCACGTCCTTCTCCAGGACAACAGCACCGATAGGCCTTGACTATATCGCTCTCCACCATGACGTTCAGCCAGTCTAGCAGTGCCACTCCTGCCCCGCTCGACTCCGCTTGGCCGCCAGCCCACATTTGGGAAACCATGGGTACGGCAGACCGTGCCAGCTGGCTAGGACAGATACAGAGAGACCGGGCTAGGCGCCTTGAATTGGATGTAGCGGAGACCGACCTCCGCCGTAGAAGGCCTCGTATGGACCTTCAAGATGACGATAATCTCGAAGAAAACCGTGAGCCACTCCCCGAAGTCAAACCACTCATCGACATATTTCCTGGTGTCTCCGCCGCCCTTCTTACTCGCGTCTTTGAGAGGAAGTTGAAGGCGACTGAACTCATACGCTTCAAAGAGAAGTCAGTCACCAAGCTAGATCAGAAGGACAGAGTCTTTAAGATGACCGAGTTGGGAGGCACAGTAGGCTTCAAGAAGGCAGCAGCGTCGCTTAAGGACTGGGGCCCCAACCCTCAAATATGGACGACCTGCTTTCTTACCTATCTGGCCGTTGTGGGATATCTCTTCAGCGAAAAACATCCTAAAGCAGTTCCCAATCTACTCATGTTTATGAGACAGATCCTAGACTTCGCTCAGACTTATCAGTGGTCGGAAGCAGTCCTCCCACTTGCCCTTAATTTCCACCAATACATAATGGATAAAAGGAGAGTTATCGACGGACAACTACCTGGTCACGGGCCCATTTCGCGAGAAATACCTCCGCCACAATCTCACCGTGTCCGCGAAGTCACCAACAAACCCTCCAACCCGGCCTCGTCAAGCTAGGAATACCAGGTCTTCGAATAATGACACAGAAGTTTGCGATAAGTTCAATTCGACAGGGTGCTCCTGGGAAGGCTGTAAGAGACGTCATGAGTGCACGGCATGCGGCCTAAGCGAGCATGGCGCCTCCTCCTGCCACAAGAAAAAATAGCAAGTGACAGTCCTTGAGAACTGCAGTAGTGACACCGACAACGTTGTTCTCAATCCCCTATCTCCAAGCCTCATACCACAGGGGCAACCGCCCCGACCAAACACAGCTGTTCAATACCCCGTTTTCAACCCAGAGCTCCCAAGGCTACAGTCCTCTCTATCGCCACTATATGCGCAAGGCTGGAGCAATCTTCTACGCTACTATCCGGGCGATCTAGGGTCCACTCTCGCTGGCATTCTGACCTACGGCGTTCAGGTCGGCTATAGGGGCAAGAAGCAGTTTCGTTACTCCCCTAACCATCACATACATGAACCCGGCATGATCACAGCCAAACTAGCAGAGGATCTCAGCCTCGGTCGTGTTCGGCTAGCCTCTGGGCCCTCCTTCATTTCACCGCTTAGTTTAATCCCTAAGCACGACGGGGGATGGCGCCGCATCCATGATCTATCCTGGCCCCCTGGGCAGGGCGTTAACCAGGGCATACCGGACCCCTGGTCAGCTATCGAATATATGTCAATCGATGACATATACGAGCAGGTCATACAAGCTGGCCTAGGTTGCACAATCATCAAGAGAGACATTAAGGACGCCTTCCGAATAGTCCCCGTTGCCGAGGATAACCAGGACCTCCTTGCCTTCCAGTGGACCGATTCCACTTTTGTCGAATGCTGCCTCCCCTTTGGCCTCGCAACGGCCCCATTTCTCTTCAACCTCTTCGCCGAGGCACTCCATTGGATACTCCAATGCCTCCTCCCTACATTCCATATCAATCATTACCTAGACGACTTCATCACAATTACTCAGTCTCCCTCAGTGTCCGACCCCACGGGTCTTTTTGATAAGGTTTTCAGCAGAGTCACCGACTATCTACGTATTCCTCGCAATACCAAAAAGGACCAGCAAGGGACCTGTGTTACAGTCCTAGGTATCCAGATCGACTCTATTGCAATGGAAGCTCGTCTGCCGCCAGAAAAGTTGTGCCGCGCCACATTGGACGCCGCAGCTGCCCTGAACGTAGCGAGTCTCTCCCTCAAGCAAGCAGAGCGTCTCACAGGCTTATTAGCCTTCTGTTCAGGAGTTGTCCGGCTTGGGAGAACAAGGCTACAGTCTCTATACACCTTCCAAGCCGCCTTCCCACATGGGAGGAGCGCGCGCCGCCGCATCCCTTACGAGGTACGTGACGATTTGGAATGGTGGAGGGACTCTTTGTCTCTCTTCAACGGCGTACTCCTAATTGACCCCTGCCGCCGCCCCATCACGCATCTCTACACAGATGCCTCTAGTATAGGCCAGGGGCTCTTCTTCTTCTCATCCCAGTCTACATTAGACTGCTGGCTGGCCCATTGTCACCAGCTTCATCCAAGCAATGCTGCCACATTGGCCCTTGCTCAAGACGCACATGCGCACATCAATACCAACGAAGTAGACGCTATTCTACAAGGCTTCCTACTCTTCAGCCACCATTGGCTCCATCATACTCTCGTTATCCACACGGATAGCTCCACAGCGCACACGGGACTCAAGAAAGGCTTTCTTCATGGTCCGCCTAACGCACCTCTGAAGAGCCTGCTTATCCTAGCGGCAGCGAGAGACATCCACATCGTGCCACACTGGCTCCCCTCCGGCGAAAATACATTAGCAGACGCGCTCTCACGTAACAAACTTGAAGACATTGCTAACATTTGTCCCCATTGGCAGGACCTCTCGGTATTGAACCGCCCGCGTGGTTCTCTTCACGAGCTCCTCAGCTCAATGCCGGCCACCTAAAACTGCTCTGGAACGGACTCAGCGCCAACACACGTTCCGTTTACCTCTCCGTCCAGCGCAGCTACGAAAAGCACTGCGCGCTACAAAATTTCTCCGCATGGCCAGTGTCAAGACATTCATTAACCTCATGGCTAAGCTCACGACTCCTTGGTAACGCCAGCCAAAAGGCCGTCAAGCCTGACACCGCACTCGCCGACCTAGCCGCTCTCCGAGCCTACCATATCGATAATTTCCTTGACGATAAACTCTTCGATAACAAGCACTTTCGACGTCTCATAGACGGTGCGCGAAGACTCAACCCCATCACAAAAGTACGGGTCAGAAAACCTATTTCGCGTGACACTATTACGAAACTATCTGCGGGCCTCGCCGCACTCCCGTCACGGCCCTTGGAGATGTCTGCGAACCTTCTAGACGACTTGAACTTCGCAACCGCGTGCCGGGTAGCATTTGCTGGATTCCTCCGCCTCGGAGAATTCACCTACACGACTGAAGACCTGAGCACACATTCTATCTTCTCAGCCACAAAGTTAACTCGCTCCGACGTCAGGTTCTCGTCCTCATTAGACCACGCACAACTCACACTCAAGCGCAGTAAGACGGACCGCCGCCACGAAGGGGTCCAAATTATTCTTGCAAAGACGGGAGACAGCGCTTGCCCAGTTGATGCCCTTCAGAAGCTGCTACTTCTTGATCCCAGAGGGCCCGACGCCCCCTTGTTCTCCTTCCACAGAAGACCATTCAGTCGCAACAACTTCCTCTCGACCTTATCTACTAAGCTAAGAGCGCTTGGACTACGGTCAGAGGGCTACTCGGGTCACAGTTTCCGGAAGGGCGCAGCTCAGCATGCGCACGATAGTGGGATACTCGACGACCAGATTCAGATGCTAGGCAGATGGACCTCAGAGGCTTTCAGGGTGTATTTTACGGCGAACGCGTCAGTTTTGTACAAGCTCAATCACCAGTTCCAGACAGGCTCGCCGGCCCCGCTGTCTCTGCTGCTTCCACCACCGTCCCCTCCACCATCCTAGTTTGGCCGGGTCATTTGGGCCCTATCTGACGCTACGGTCTACGACCGCAGCGACAGGTGACCCGTTATGGCCAAACTACACTCTTCTTGCTCCTCTTGACTGCGTGAGGTCACCAATAAAGGGAGTAGTTTTATTGGGGTTGCCTCACAATGCCCGTAGCCTCACGTGATATCTACACCGACACTACTGAGGGCCTCTTCCTCCTACAACTGCCTCACGAGAGTCAGTTCCTTACCTCTGCGGGTAGCTCGTCATCTCTCACGCAGTCAAGTCTTGATTTTGTCCCTCCCGCCTTCCCTCTGTATATAGAATTCACTACAACACAGACAAATTGCCTCCCCACAAGGGAGCGCGAACGGGCCCTATCTGACGCTACGGTCTACGACCGCAGCGACAGGTGACCCGTTATGGCCAAACTACACTCTTCTTGCTCCTCTTGACTGCGTGAGGTCACCAATAAACTCCGAAGTACAACGCGACCGTTTCATCTCGTAAGTGCTGGACACCAATACACCATAGCCAGTAGCTAATAGCTACTAGCTATTGACTGCTTCGGTGATTCCGAAAATGTCTGAGCTCGAAACTATAGTGGTAGATAAAAGTCTGTTTTCATGATACCTAACGGCGGTGACCAAAGAAACAGAGAAGGATTCATCTCAGTGGAGCCGTGTCGCGTGAAG